TGGGCTGATAACTCATTTAAATGCTGAGGTCTTCCAAGAAAAAGAGACATGCTGAAATGGAGTTTTTGGTTAGTCTTCAAAGCCAACAGTTGCATGAAGAACTTTTCTTTAGAATGCTCAAATGATTTAACAAAGATTAATTCAATAGCCTACTCTTTTCATATTGACCTAACGCATATTTATTAAGGGAAAAGTAAAAGCTATCTTGCTAAACAGATCATTTTCATGCAGGCCACATCTAATCAAAGCAAGTTTTGGTTTGGTTGGGGGAGATGTTTCTGTATTTTTTGGGTGTCAGCATGTTTTTTTTGTAGCGATTCAGAGACAAATTAATTAAAGTAAGCATTTAAGCTTGCTCGTAAGTCTGTTGTTTCATCTACATGTTAGACTAGCTCCCTACAAAAGTTGGAAGTTACTGCTGGTTTTATGGTTACTCTTTTTGTTATATATTATTCTGCTTGCTGATAATAAGACATACAAAGCAGTGTACTGCTCTACTGACAGGTCCTGGCCAAGAACAACATAGGCAAAGAAAAAAGAATTCAAAAAAACCCAGCAAAATGTTTATGAATTCTAATCCTCAGCACATGAATAAATATAACTGACAAACTGCAGAGTACCTTACAAAAGCCTTTCCTGACCTTTCTAATTTGAGTTCAATTGCATGTGCAGTGTTTAGAAGCCAAAGTTGGTCTTGCCAATGTTTTTAAACTACAGTTGCAGTACGTATCATTATTTGTAAAAGTGAAGTGCCAGATAATAAGTTATAATTACCCTATTAATCACCTGCAAAAACTGCATTCAGGGAAGAATGCATTTTCAAATTACAGTAATTGGTGACTTAAAAGAACTAATTTTTCTATCCTTGACTAGAGGATATTTTGTAGTTGTCTGTGAAAATCTGCAAATATTCTGTTGAAATGAGGCAGTGTAAACCATACACTGGATTTGCCGTGGTCCAAATCCTCATGTAGTATTGATTAGCATAACTCCATGGAAGTTGATAGATTTGTGCCAATTTAAAGCAGGTGAGGATCTGGCCCTATATCTATGTCTATGTGCCATTACTTATCAGCAATTACTCTCTTCAGCAATATCTTTAGTCATAGATTTCCTGTAAGCAGAAAGTAGTTTCTTATGGTTGTAATGATGACATTGTTTCAGAATCTTCTATCTCCAAAATTAACAGGAGCAGTGTCAAGGCTGTTCCCTACTCTGGCACTCGAGTGCAGAAGTTGGGGGCCTTCAAGACACTTTAAAATACTCTGCCACTGAAGGCTTCTGTTTAAAAACTCCCCAAAGTCACAGATTCCCTGGCCTTGGATTGGTATTGCTGCCACCACTGAAATACAAAACACCCTTTTTAGAAGTCAGGAAGATATATTTGGGAATTTCTTCCGATGGGGTTATCCTCAAATTCTTTCACCTTCCCTCTGGAGAGAGCTTGAAAAAAACATGAACTCTCACTTGTCTCAATCTTCCTTCCTTAAAAGTCTTTCCTTCTATTTACTATGCTATTTTTTGCAAACAGATAATTACATTGAACTAACCAGCCTACTTTACTGGCTTCAGATTACTGGTCTACCTAAACAGCCAATAGAGTTAGGTGAATATTTCAGTATACTCACGCTTAACTCACAGGGAAAAACATTTCATATCTGTTTTCAAGCATAGGTACTGTTCTGAGAATGCAGAGGGTCGGCAGCTGTAGAAGGAGTAGCAGCAGTGATTCAACATTAAAACAAAACAAGGCCATTCTCACAAAGAAACATCACCAAATGGTCATCTTTGACTGTGGAGAGAAGTCCCTGGCATAGTGGTGGGAGCACAGTTTCATTAGCATCATTCATCTCTCCGTGGGGTTACCTTACATATATCCAAGCTAACCAGGGCCAAGCAGAACTCATCTCCAGTCTAAAGATGGGCAAGATTGCAATGTGAGAACATCGATGCTTTGGCTGATTTTGGAGGGCAGGATTCAGAAGGTGAGCCGTCAGCACCACCCCAGGAAACTGCTGTGTATAAATATGAATGCTGGTTTGGGTGAAGATGGGCAGGCTGTTCAGGAGGGGCAATCAAATCTTACGACTGAGATTTTTAAACAGAACCACCTAAAGTCGGGCTTCTAAATTCAGCACTGAAATAAGAAGCCTGATATTCAAAAGTGTTGACCATACATCTCAAAAGGAGACACTGGATGTTCAGCACTTCTGAAAACTTTTTTTATGGGACGTAGAATAAGTCACCCAGTGTGGAACCCAAATAGGGCTGAATATTCTACTGTGGCATGCACAAGGGGATGGGAAGAAGAGAGACCTTTCCAGCAACCCCAGCTTCCTTCACACAAGGTATCATGTTCCCTTGCTCACACCTCCACTGTAGTGCTCCCTTAATTTATTTAATTCTTACATTGTCCCTGATGCCTGCAAGGGAGAAGGCTGAGGAAGCATTTGGGGTTGCTTGGGGGAGCTTCTTTGCATTAATTTCCTGTTCTTAAGAAGCTCTGTAGATTTTTTTTCTGGAAGAGGTGCCTTGTACCTTCCGCATCAGGCTACTTGTTCTCAAGACAGACCACTATTGTGCATAGCCAGCAAATGCAACCTGTTGTGGAGTGTGTCCGTGCCTATGATGACATGTAAACTAAGCTGAAGACTTGGCATATAGTACATTTTCCTTAACCTGCAAAGGAAAAAATAATGGTGCTGGCCAATGTCGGCAGACAGGCTACTGGGCTGGATGGACCTTTGGTCTGACCCAGTATGACCGTTCTTATGTTTTGTTCTAATGGGGTTGTCTCTTTTATTGTTTCTTTGTGATACATAAAGAAAGCCTGAAAGGTTTCAGTTCAAAGTTGAGGAAAAAGGCATAAGATAGGAGGGTTTCCTGGTTATTTTTAACATTACAAATTCAAATCTTGTCTACCTAGGAAGTTTCTATGGACTCTGGAGAATTGGTGAAATTAAGAATTTATAGACTGAAAACTGAGTAGTTGAAAGGGTGAAAGGATTTTTAGATACATATATAAAACATGTATTTAACTCCAGTGCTTAAGAACATTTGGGAGAAAAGATGCCTTTGTTAAAGGTTCATTACTATTACCCTTTTTATTCAGGTTTGTGAATTTCCAATAAACATCTCTGAGAATCTCAATAGGTTCTCCAGCAAAATGAGGGAAGGTCTCATGTGACATTTTTGGTATCCATAAACTAAAAACCAAGCAGAAAAACCCTTTCAGGCTTTCTTTATGCATCATAAAAGCCAAAAAAAGGACATAAAGGTTTTTAAAAGTCTTTCATAGTTGATCGTAGAGATTATAAGCAATTTCCACTATAAGAAATAGCACTTCACACCAATTTAATAGGTCTGAAATGTTGCCCTGAAAAGAAACTGGGAGACTGGTAAGTGATGTATGCTAAAGAATTCTGATTACTGTAGCTGTCTCAGTTTCCAGTAAAAACAATGATTTGCAATACTGCTCCCCACAACAGAATTTTACAGACTATGGCATGAAAACATGTGACAGGCTCACCATTTAAGGTTAAGGTATGATGTGTTACTGTATTTGATTTTTGTATGCGTCTTCATCAGATTAATCCTACATCGTTTTTACTATAGAGTGATTGTCATGATTATGAGGGTTAGCCAGCAGCCTGGGGATTAAGGGGTTAACTACACCTAGCCAGGTGGAGTGACCAATAGGAATGTAGGTGGGATTTTTCAAACTGGGACAAAGGAATTTGGGTTTTTTTCTTTTCTCCCTTTTGTCTCTCCGAGAGAGTTCTCTGCAGCTACAGAGAGGGACAAGCATGTCTCTCTCTCTCTCCAAGACATCATTCTTCATTTTCTGTAAGTAGGGTAAAGTTTATGTAGTTTCGTTAGGTTTTATTGTGTTATGGATTGGGTATGGGATCTGAGATCTGGCACTGCTTAAAAGATGTTTTGGCTTTTCTTTGTAACTAAGTTCTAGGCCCATGGAGTTTCTCCATGAGTATATTTTGTTACCTTCCTCTCTAGTCATTATACTTGCAACCAGAATATTGTTGTAATAATAAAAGTTCTTTCTTTTCTTTTATTAACCTGGCAGTGGTTAATGGTGTGCCCTGATTTTTGTTTTAGGGGGAAGATTTCCCAAATGATCTTTCCCCTGGTTTCTTTAGCAACATTTGGGTGGTGGCAGCGGAAGTTTTATTCCCCAGATCTAGGTTTTTAAGATCTTGGGGGAAGTTTTATACCAAAGCCTGGTAGATAAGGCTTTGGGGTACACTTGCTGGCCCCCACTTCTGCATTTATCATGCCAGAGTGGGGAAGGAGCCATGACAGTGATGGTAGAAAGAGAAGTACCATAATCCTCCATGACAATGTGCTTATGCTAAGAAATTACCAATGATCTTGAAAGAAGAGCCTGTTTTATCCATGACAGCTCACTCAAGAACTTAATCAGTGATGAGCATCAGTGATGAGCATCATTGACACTCCCTGATGTCAAAGTACATTCTCAGCATTCTGAAACTCAGTGAGGGTATCCCAAAATAGCTATTCTGTGTCTATTGAACCAGCCTGTTATTTTGAAATAGAGTTTGAAATAATGGGCTCGCTATTCTGATGTCCCTGTAACTCTTGTTCCATGAGGGTTAAGAGACATTTCAAAATAAGTTATTCTGAAATTAGATCAAAATAAGATACGCAATTTGCGTAGCTCAAATTGTATATCTTATTTCGACCTATGGGTGCAGTATAGATGCACCCTGCGGGAGGACAGTGTATTAAGTCTTTCTCAGGATTAAGAACAGTTTTGTGAATCATAGAGATTCATATAGACATCAGAGGTTGGGATGCTTATCAAAACGAAAATAACTTCCAACTCTTCTGCATTTTGCTATTACTAAGACATATGCAAAAGGCACTTATTTCCATACATAGGAAAAATTAAAAGAAGACAAAAAGACAGAACTTTTCAAAAATGTGGATTTTCCTCTGAAATCCTTGGATGTATCTTTTACCTCATTTCCTAGAAGGGCATTTATACAGGCTTCAGATGCATCACAGATGGCAGTAAGGTCATGTCCTCCCTCCAATGCCAGCACCACACGACCAGCCGCTAGCTTCAGCAACTGTTTTGTTAGGTGACCAAAACCTAACATATAAAGACAGCAGTGCAAATTATTAAAGCAGAACAGATATTTATGACATATTTTACATCTGTTGTATCAGAAAGTAGGAAACATGAGGTTATTGTGAAGAAATATAAGATCAGAACCATGGTACATCAATTTCAGTAACTGGGCTCCAACACTGGTGAACATTAAATACTACAGAAGAAAGTGTAACTGTGACCCTAAACACCTTTGTATTCACTCCCTGATGCAATGATATTTGTACAAAATATGACTTGTGAGGTGTCATATGAAAAGCTAACACACTGGTTACTAAGGCCACTGTAGAATGCATGTATTAGTGCTGTAATGTAGACATACTTGAATTAACTTAATTCGAAATAGTTCATTCGAATTAAGCTAATTCGAAATAACACATCTATACACAAAAACTTTTTTGAAATAGCGCATCCACACTGAGTGGATCCTGAGCCGAAGTTAAGGCTGGCCGGAACCAGCGCCGGCAGGGCATCAGGTTAGGACTTAGTGTGTGGGGCTGCTGCCTGAGGCTAACTGAGCTCCGTGCTTAAAGGTACCCTACCCTACCTCGGATAGACAGTTCTCAGGGTTCCCCGCTTGCTGGTCTACCTCGATGAGGGACAGCAAAGCAGTCCTGTCTTGTAGTTCCCCGAGTGCCCGAACTCGGGACACAACAGCACTCGGCCACATAGAGCCAGAGCTGCCCCTGGGCATACCAGTGCGTCTTGTGGGATTGTTGCCATCAGCCCAGCTGCACTTGCTGCAGGCTGCCATGCGGAGGGGGGGGGGCCATCGGGGGGCTGTCAGGATCCAGGAGGCCCTGAAGGAGAGCGTCCACCCCGAGGAGCCCTCAGAGCCTCCCCGGTCCTCCTCACCGGGGACTCGTGCCCCATTCCTCCCTCACATCCTTCCAATTACCCCTCCCTAGCCTCCCTTCCTGAAGTCAAATAAAAGACATGTACATTCAAAAATAGAAACTGGGTTTATTGAACAATACTGGGGGGAGGTGAACCTCTGGGGAGACTGGGAAAAGGAGGTGGGAGAGGGGAAGAGAGAGGATGAGAGAGAGGAGGGGGAAACCTGGGAGGAGGGAGCTGGAAGAAGGAAGCAAGGGGAAGAAGGGGCAGGGGAACCTCAGGGCTAAAAGTCGGGGTATGTCTACACTACAAACTTAATTTGAACTAACGGACGTGTAGACACTTAACCCAAGAAGGCTATGGCAAAGCAGACTTTTCTGTGGTCAGTCTTTTTTTTTTTTATCTTTATAAAGTCCTATTGTCTTCCATATGATAGTTTAATTGAAGGGAATTTTGTTCATTTCCACCTTGTAGCTAATACAAAACAGCCTGGCTGCAAGTGGCTTGCTGGCTCATGTTTTGGGGCCCCTGGGTCAGGGGCCCCAGTGGCCACTGCTGGCTCTGGGCTGGCAGGCTTGAAGCTGACACAAGCACTTTGGCCAGGGTCTACTCCTTTAGTGGCTCCGGGGCTGGGGTAGAGGAGAGGAAGTTTTTCTGGTTGTGCCCAGAGTGGCCACCAGGGCTCCCTGGTAAGGGCTGGAGGCCCCCTATTTTGAATTAAGTGTCTATACAGCATTTAATTTGAAATAGCTATTTCGAATTTGGCTTTACTCCTCGTAGAATGAGGTTTACCAAATTCAAATTAAGGGCTCCGCTATTTCGAATTAAATTCGAAATAGCAGTTTGCATGTATAGACGTTATTAAAGTTAATTCAAAATAACGGTTGTTATTTCGAATTAACTTTGCAGTGTAGACAGGCCCTTAGTTATATAGGAAGCTATGAATTCACACTGTGTGATGTTGTTAGAACATGTTTCCAACCAGACAGCTTAGCCTTGGTAAAGGTGATAAATAGGTCTATCCTAGAAAAAGCACTGCAGATTTAAATACTAGCAGTAAACAAAACCATCATGCTAAATCAGTGGCATTTATCCTAATCCTAAACTCAAGGGATAGAGATTTAACGTGGCTCCAGAGAAACACAGGAGACTAAATCACCAGCAGGCCTTCATGACTTCTGAGACTTAGACATCCCATTTGGGGACTTAAGGAACAGAGACAGAACCCACCTTTATGGAGACCAAAGCAAAAACAAAATCTCCGCAATTTAAGTTCTATAATGGATCTTCCCCGGGCTAACTAATAAAGTCTAAAAAGGAGCCTGTGGGTAAGAGAAACTATTTTGAACAAAGATGGTATCTTGCTAAACTGAGTTTTAGACTTGTTGATGCATTTTTTCACTTTGTACAGAGACCAGCACAAATGGAGCCCTGATCTGAATGTACCACCAGAGTCTAAAAAATAAATAATATCCTATGTTACATGTTGGTGTTACTAAAGCCAAGCACTAACAACAATCTCTGGAGTTAGGGTTAGTGCAGACTGGAACTTTTCAGGGTTTACCAGACAGCTCCACCAGTGTTCCTCACCAATGATCCACAACACTCCAGGTATTCCTATATCACAATCAGGGGCTGCCAATGGGCTCCACTGTCTCCAGCTTTCTCAGGGTAGTAGTCAACTAAGGCAGTGGTTCCCAAACTTTTTGGCCCACAGCCCATCCTGCTCAAGCAAACATTTCTATGACAAAATGGGTGCAGGAGTGGGCTGAGAGTGGAGGCCTGGCCAGGAGTTTGGGTGCAGGACTGGGCCTAGAGTGGGAGTCTGGGAGGGATTCTGGCCAATGGGAGCAGCGGGAAAACCCTCCACCTGAGCAGTTTCCTGCACTGCCATTTGCCCAGCTGACAGTGTATAGATCTGCTTCCTTCCCGCCATGAACTGGAACCAGCCTGCGAGGTTTGAGGCACCCCCCTCCAGCAAGAATCCAACCTTGTGGGGAAGAGACGGGGGGCTGGAGCGCCAGTGCACGCTCCCCACTGCAGGGTGGAGGCAACCCCTGAGCCCGTGGTCCACCTACAAGACAGTCACACTCCACTAGTGGTCCACAGACCACACTTTGAGAATCACTGAGCGAGGAGACACTCCCACTTAAATTTCATCTCAGATTAAAGTTAGTTGAAATTCTTTCATTTTTACTTCATCAAATTTAATAAAAAGATGGATAATTTTGGGAGGAAACATTTTGAAAATCTGTAATTTCCAAGGGCAGTTTTTGCTTTGGCTTGACCTCCTTCCCAATGGTTAATGGCAGGTAAGGTCTTGAGACTTTTTAAAGTCAAATTCAGAACACACTTGCAGCATGAGTCTCACACTTAGACCCACTCTGTTTTAGTTGCTTGTCTGACAGTGGCCTCTATTATGTCCAGAGAACTGCATGTTCCCTAGCTTTAATGCACAGACTGGCAAGACAGCAGGAGGTCTTGGGTTCCAGAAACACATTTTTAGTGTGCTCAAGTGAGAAGAGAATGTAGAAATTTAACATTTCAATAACTGAAAAAAATATTCTGGAGAAATGGTCTGGTGCAAAGAATGAAACCTTGACCCTGCCAGCATTTACACAGATGCTTAACAAGTAAGCACATGAGTAACCCCCCCTCCTCCATATATCAATAGGACATTAAGCAGGGCTATAATTGTGTGCAGCATTGGGTCCTTAAGGATTCCACATTTGCCTAAATGTTCACAAAATTCTACTTGCCTCTCATCCCTGGGCTGATCCCAGAACTCTTGAAGTGAAATGTTAATTCTTTAAACCATTTCACAACCTACTGTAGCTCTCAAAGAACTGCAGTTTTGACTCTACTGAAGCCACTACACTGTGGTTCAAATTATACACACTTCGAAAAACAAAAAATTAAATCTCTCATTTCAGCTCAATCGTCATGCAGAGAGAGGAAATAAAAGGCAAAAGACCAAATTTAGCAGGCTAATAAAAGTGAAGGAAGGAATGGAATAAAGATAACCTTTGATTATTATCCAGTTTCCACTTTCTTTTACCTAGAGGATTTATTTCTGTCTGCATACTACACATGTGATCTTCAGACTCATATCAAGACATTGCCAGCAGCAGTACCATGAGATGAACACAACACATTCAAAGGAAATGAAGACGAATCAATAGTTCATGGGCTCCGCACATCCACATGCTGTATAACTCTTCCTTCAGCTTTTTAAGAACTGCAACAGGACTTTAATAGCTTCTGTCAGGAAGGGAAAGTTTTACTGAATCCAATGCCCTGCACAGTTTGAAAACAATATGGCTACGTCTACACTGGCCCCTTTTCCGGAAGGGGCATGTAAATTTCAGCAGTCGTCGTAGGGAAATCCGCGGGGGATTTAAATATCCCCCGCGGCATTTAAATAAAAATGCCCGCCGCTTTTTTCCGGCTTCTCCAGACTAAACAGACCCAACTCCCTCAGCCTCTCCTCATATAGGAATAAGACCCTCCGGAAAAGGGCGCTTTTTCCGGAGGATCGGGGCCAGTCTAGACGCTCTTTTCCGGCTTTTTTAAAAGCCGGAAAAAAGCGGCGGACATTTTTATTTAAATGCCGCGGGGGATATTTAAATCCCCCGCGGATTTCCCTACGACGACTGCTGAAATTTACATGCCCCTTCCGGAAAAGGGGCCAGTGTAGACGTAGCCTATATGACCACAAGGGTCACTGTGGCCACACCATAATTTTCTGGCAATAAATTCAGAGTCTCTCCTAAGAGATTCTTTCTTTCTTTCTTTCTTTCTTTCTTTCTTTCTTTCTTTCTTTCTTTCTTTCTTTCTTTCTTTCTTTCTTTCTTTCTTTCTTTCTTTCTTTCTTTCCAAAAACTGTATGTAGTACTAGTGATAAACATCATCACCAGGTTAATTATCAGCTTGCTTGCTTCAAACTACAAGTAAATCATCAGTGTTGCAGTGTTCACTTCTAACTTACTAAGAGATGTTCACATTATCAGCTATACAAAATATACCACTCCCAAATACAATTCCACAATAAAGGGTTGCCAAATGCAACTAATATGGAGGAAGCTTTTCTTCAGTGCAATTACCAAGAAAGTCAAGGTGACTTGCTAGAGGGAGAGGAAATGACT